AAAGAAATTCCTCACTGAAATGTCATGGAAAATGAGAACCTGTGGGAAGTATCACAAAAAGAAGACCTGGGGTTGGGGACAGAGGCTTGTGAGTTTGAGGTGAGCCTGGTCTACACAGTGAGACCGTCTCAAAAACAAAAACAAAAAAGCCTTGCAGGAGTCTCCACACTGGCTGCCAGGCTAGTTAGCATGCTCGAATTCCAGGTTTGGGTATAGTCACACCTCACAGAAGGGGAGGGCACTCAGATGGGGAAAACTCTGCCACCAGAGGTGTATGTACCATCTCTAACCACTTTGAAATTTTAATTCCTGCTTTTAATATGTGATCTTTGCTTAAGATGATCTTCTTTGGGAAACTTTTCTTTTTTTTTGTTTTTTTAAGACAGGGTCTTGCTATGGTAGCCCAGGCCTGCCTCTGAACTCACAATCTTCCAGTCTCAGTCCCTTCGATGCTGGGACTACAGGCATGTACCACCACGTCAAGCTAAATACAGCTTAGACGTCCCGTGTGGGAACTATCCGCTGCTCTTCTGAACAACCTTGGGCACCCTGACTCCTCTGAACCCTGCCATATTCACCTCTTCCTTGAGGCAAAGGATTGCCTTGGAGACCAACCAGAAAGCGGCCAGGAGCACAGCAGGTTTTCCTTCACCCTCTCTACCCCTTTTTGTACTCCTTGCTCTCAGCTCCCCATCCTGGAACTGTGCTTTGAATCAGGGCCAAGGTGATGATAGTACATGAGGTCTCTTGGCCACTTGGCTATAAAGAGGTATTAAGTGATTTCCTTTAATAAAGTGGAAGCCTCAATATGCCAGATGAAAAGAACACCAGATGAAACTTTCTTTAGCTGCTGAGGTAGGAGGGATACAAGCAGCATCAAGTACAACAATGGGAGAGACCCTGAGTGGCTTTGGGATCAGGTGCAACTGTTTCACATTTAAAGGGCCAGCTGCTCAAACCAATGTTTTTTTGGGGAGCTGTAGATAGATGAATCCCTAACATCCCTTCTATCTCTCAGCATCTTTGGCTTGCTTCAAAGTCGCTTCTGCTGCTTGTGTAACTTCAGAACTCAGAAGGAGGACATGCAGGGAGTATCCTTTAAGATGCTGCAGAAGACACTGCTGAAAACTTGAATGGGGAAGGCTACGGCAAGCCTCTGGAGTACAGGTCAAGGATGCGAGCTTTGCAGCACTCTTGCACTCAGCACTTTGCAAAGAGCAAAGCAGATGTCAACTGTGGAGGAAAACATATGGGCCTGAAGCCTTGCAGGGTCACTGGCTTCAGGCCCATGTTTTCCTCAGCACACAGGTTTCCTCACTGAAGTCATCTTGGGAGGTCAGGAATAACCAGCAAAGGGCAGGAAGAAGCCAGATAGGCAGAAGAAAAGGAGTTTTCCAAGCAAACAACAACAGCAGAGAGGCTGGTTTTCCACAGGCAGGGGTGAAGTTGGGTAACAAGAGTTGAATAACAGTATTTTACCAGGATACTTGAAAGTTAAATCCTGATGAAGAGTGAGGAAGGCCTGTCCTGGCGTTGGTATCAACAGCAGGTGAGACCTCCATCAATCACCCACTGCTTGTAGAAAAAGATGAGGGGGTAACTGAGACTTTCCATCCAAAGCAGGAGGAGGGTATGCAGGGAAGGCCTTGGGATCTGCTGTATAGGAATGCCTACATCCCTTCTACCTGCATACTTACTCTGGCAAAGCTGCACTCAGTTTTAAAGTACTAAGCCCGGGTTTCCCCACACCCTGAAGGAAAATGTTGATTTTTGTAAGAACATAGGCAGTCAGTCCAAGCACTGACAGGAAATGTGCTTGAAGATTTGTGACTTGGCTTCTTGTCTCTCTCACCCCCGATGCTACAGCTTTCTTTCCCCTTACTCTCTTACAGCAGATGAAGTCTGGGAATTTTGCAAAGCAACTGGGCCTGGAAAGTTTAGTGTCACTTTGGTTCAGCAAACTTGCATCAACACGGGACTAGTCTACTATTCAAGTTCTAACAACGACGGTCACCACGTTTCCTGGTGTATAGACAGGTGGCTGTGGTATAGACACACAGGCTGATTTTTATTTGGCCTAGAAATGACACTGATGATAATTTGTTCCCAATAGATGTTTCTCTGGGAGGAAAAACAAACTAAAGAGGCTTTTGACTGGTATATATTTGAGAAACCATGAGGGAATGAGGTCCTCTGTCTGGTTCTACCTACGGATAACTCCAGTGCCTTACTTCCAACCACCAAAAAAGCCAATGCAGCAAAAGAGAAGCTGTGCTAGAACACCCTTGCCTTATTCTTTCTGCAGGATGCTGGCCTGTTACATACCTGTGAGTAATATATTTGGACAGAAAAAAGAAAAAGGTTACAGAGTTTGCACCCTCTAGGGCAATAAAGACTGAAGGGCCAACTCTAAAATCAGGGCTCATCAAACCGCAGTCCTGGTGCACTGCCTAAGTAAAGACAGTCTCTTTGAGACCGGGCTCATGTATTCCAGGCTGACCTTGAACTCCCTAAGAAGATGACTTTGAACTTGATTACCCCGCTTCTACCTACCCAGTGCTGAGGTTACAGGTGTGTACCATCAATGTCAAGTGTATGTGGCATGGGGATCAAATGCAGGGCCTCTGCATGGTAGGAAAGCATTTTACCAACTGAGCTTCAGCTCTAGCCCCTTAGTACTTTACTGGACCAATCATGCAACTCATCTCTATTGTCTACATTCCCTCACAGCAGAGCTGAGTAGGTGGGATAGAGACAACACAAAGCTCAAAATACTACCTGGCTCCTTGGTGAAAAAAATTTGCCAATACTTGCCTTTTAAAAAAACAGAATTTCCTTTAACTTCGAAAAGCAACTGCTTACGCAAGAGGATTCTGTTAGTCTATGTAAAATGTCAGTAGACATTTAATAGGGGTGCATCTGCAATTCCTTTTTAGGATAAAGAACAAATGACCTTCAATTTTTCTGCACACCCTTGCCTATGGATGTTCTCATTCTCTGTGTAGGAGCAAAGGCGGCAAGGTGTCCAAGGGGCCGTGCTCCACTGGTCTCCAGGGTAGGAATAAAGAGCTGCTGTCCCCCTGTACCTTGAAGAACAGCTGAGTGCAGCTGTGGTTCCCACCTTGGAGTGCAGAGACCCTCACTGTACCTGTTGGCCAAAAGCTGGGATCTGGTTCCTGAGGGTGAGGTCAGATAGATGGCCAGGTCTCCCCTTCGTGGGTGTGTGATGGTAATACGCACAACTACATGCTCCAGGTAGTTGACGTGATGGTTGGGGTTGTCCGAGCAGCCAGAAGCTTTGTAGATGGAACGCACTGCACTGTTGGGGCGAATGGTCCTGCAGGAGAGATGGGGGTTTGAACAAATGAGATCGCAGAACTCAGGTGAGTGGGCCTAGAAGTTTGGAATGAAAGCACAGGACAAAGGTAGCAGCCGGTCACTGGACACTAAAGGACAACAGTAACAATACCCAAATGACAGTCATTTAAAGGATTAGTGGTTAGAAAGAAAGATGCCCTTAAGAGGAGATGGGGAGCAAAAGATCTTTTATCTGCATGCAGGTAGTGAGTATCTAACTTGAGGGTCACTGAAATCATCTTGTAACACAGATGGCTGAGGCACTGATCACAGAGGAATCCCAAGAACTGTCATGTCTAGTAAGATCCTAGGCAACATGAATGTTACCGACTTATAGAATACACTGACAACCACTATACTGTGGTGCAGTGGAGGCTTGGGAATTACCACGATGTGAGTTCAAATCCTTAGGCTGCCATCTCTCTGTGTGAAAACCACATGCTCACTCTTCCTTCTGATTTCTAGGCTGCTGTCTTCCTCTGTCACTTCCTCCTGGACTGCAGTTCCCTGCAACACTGGCCTTCTGCCCCACTGGCCTCAGTTCAACTGGAATCACCCACATTTCTTACCTTAAGGGCTTTGCACACATTGGTATGCCCAATTACTTCTGTTGTACTGGCTGTCTCTTCTTTCTTCAAAGTTAAAGCTTAAATATCCCATTTCTGGGACCTTCATTGAACCATAAGCAAAATTTTCTTCCTATTGTATCTATTTTCCTACCTTTAAAAATTTTCAATGTTCACATGTAACTTGTTATCTACCTACTTACTGCATTTTGCTTCAGTTTCTCTCTGGCCTAAGCACCAAAGCATAGAAGTATTTCTACCTAATATCTACCTAGCTCAGTGTTTCATACGTCCAAGAACAGTGGTTGCAGAGTTGGTGAATGAGTTTGTGGATGAATAAATAGTACAACTGACTTCATTTTCTCACTTGTCAAATGGGGAATAATATCAAAATGGTAAGAAAGTTTTAAGAAAAAAATCACACCAGGAGTTTCTAGCACTTGGCTTGGACTGAAATAAGGGCTTCATTAATACTAATAATTTTCTTTTCCTATGTCTTTGCCTTCTAGTTCGGGCCATGAAATAGTTGAATGGGAAAAACACTTTATTCCATTGTCACTGCTTGCAAACTAATTTGCTCAAGGATATAAGGCTATATGTTTATCACACACCATAAACATAGTTCACAAATATTTCTCAGGCAGAAGTCGCTGAGAAGAAAGCCAAGAACATTGTGGAATGCTATTCTTTGGATGTTGGACCAAGGATCAACTTTGCCTACTGCTGGGTAAATGTTGGGAACACAGTCTCTGAGTCTATGTAGCTGAGTGAATAGCAATCTCATCTCCTATATATTTTACGACACTCTTTGGAGAACTACATAGTATGTAGTTAAATTTCCAGAACATAAAGATTTGGAGAATATCTGCTTCATCAAGTAAGGATACTGACAAGTTGAAAATAACTTTGGATAGGCCATTTCTACCAGGCTGCCCAGATCCCCTTGGAGGGGATGATTCCCTTTGCAGCATCTAGTTACATCTGGGTTACACTAGTGTGGATTTACTGTTTTATCACCTTTACAACTACACTAGAAAGAAATTACAGAAGCTTCTAGCTTCCATGTGCAACAGGAAGCTGTGGCAAGCCCTTGTGCTGGCCTTGTTTTGGGCCTTGTCAGGCTGTCTGTGGGCAGCAAGTATTACTTGATCTGTCGGTCTGTGCTTTCCACACACACGTGCTGCTGAGGAACAGTCGTCCACTTCTCTGCCTCCATGACCATGGCTTCTGCATCCATCAGTCCAAATCCGTAGAGATGACTCACTGTGGGAGGAAAGAGGCTGGTCAGCTTCAGCTAGGATCAACCATTGCTACCCATGCTGACTTACCATGCCAGTTAGCAGAGACCCAAGACATATCTCAGGGGGATCCTAGTTATTTTTCCAGCAAGATTTGAAAACCAAACAAATATAACAAGAAAATAAGATTAGTGTGTATTATTCATTGGCTCTATTATTACTTGTAATACAACTGTAATGTATGAATTGTTTTCACACGTCAACATTTTACATTTAACCCTCCCAATAATCTGACGATGTTAGTGTGATTTATTTATGGATGAAGAAACTGAGGCGTGGAGAAACACTTGGCCAAACTGACCAACAAGTGATGACTGAGCTGGATTCCAACCCATACTCTTTTGCTCCAAGACCTCATTGACAACTATTTGCATTAAAAAATGATGACATTGCTTTTATGAGATAAAATAACTAATAGCTTTGAAGGAATATGATAACGTATACAATTTCTCATAGTGAGTGTAGAGCTCACATGCAAGAAATTTCAATTTTCTGACATATCTAGTAATTAGGTTAAATACCCCCAAAGGCATAAATTATTACCTTTCCTCTGGCATGTAAAAAATTCATTAAGCTACATGCATAAAATATTTGGAGGTTTCTAGACTTTTATGCCAGTTTCTTGTCTTCGAAT